ATATATATACACACACATATATATACAGATATATATATACTTTTTTTTTAAACAATGGAAATGCCATTTTATTTCTTGTTCTGAATGAAAGGACTTTTTTTTTTTAAAATACCACAGTACTATGACTGTGGCTTGTGCAGGACCAAGTTGCATTACCACATCCAACCCCTTTGCCACCCACCCCTCCCACCTACCCCCAGACCACTGACTCAGACTTGGAAAAAGGTCTTTGTGATTTATATTTTACTGTTCCTCTGTCTGTGGAGGAAATCAATGATAATCCACGTTCTTTTTCCACCACGTCCTTGTACATTAGCTGTAAACAGTTAGTGTGAAGGTGTGGTGTTGATGATAAATGAAGACGGGGGTCTTACCGGCTTACATGAACCTCTCCCCCGTGAAGATGTCCAGCTGCCGTCTTTCTTGTCACTGTAGTCATCTGTCCACTGATGGAGAAAAATAAAGATTAAATGGAACAAAATTTAATGCAATTTTGATTTAGAAATGTAGTTATTTCATATTTTATTCTAAAGTAGTTTTTCTAAAGGCTGATGAGGATCAGATGATTCCCCCTTCCCCCAAATTCCCAAAACCCTACAAATGTACGATAGAACAACTTCATCTTTCTCTAGGGTTGTGTGGACATAACAGTGTGGGCTGTGATTTTATACTACGGGATACGTTCCACTGGTGGAGAGCTGAAGGTTTGCTTTGTAGAGAAGAGACAGAACCTGTAACCTAGATGAATGAGGTTTGCTTTGTAGAGAAGAGGAATAAAGGTCAGCAGGAGAGAGACAGAACCTGTAACCTAGATGAATGGATCGATGGAGTTCCCTTTGGGAAATTAAGGGTTTGGACAAATTAGGAGATGGTTTGGACATGAGTACGTGAACATATTGGACAAAAGATGTTGGCGATAGAGTTGTCATGTCAGAGGAGAAGGGAAAGACCTCAGAGAAGGTGTGTGGATGTAGTGAAGGTGGACATGGAGAGAACTGGTGTAAACGTGATGGAGGTAGAGGACAGGATGAGATCAGATCATTTTCTTTATTCAAATACAGCCACTGCCTCTGTAGAATATTTAACTGATAAAGGTGTGTCATCTTTCCACGTGTAGGACACTGACCTGGGGCACCTTTCCACCATTGTCCAACTCCAGGTCTCCGTCTGCCTTTTCCCCCAGAAGTCCCTGCACTTGATACTCCAGCACGTAGCTGTCGATAAAACGCTCCAGCTCTTCTATTTCCTGTGAGCGTGTGCTCCCAGCCTCTGACGATGCAGATGCCACTGATGAGTTCTCCATGGCAACCGACTCTGCGGCTGATGGACAAGGAGGAAAAAGTGGGGAAGAGGAAGAGGAAGAGGAGGGGGACAGAGGAGAGTGACCTGTGAAGAAGCAGCAAAAAGAGAAGTGAGTTTAAATTATTCAAATCTGGCTTTGTTGTTGCGATTTTACTCAGTTTTTCATACTTGGTTTTATCTAATAATCATCGATGACATGTCATAAAAATTAGGTTTCATCTGAATCTGTACTGCAGTTCAGCTTCATTCAAAAATAATCCCTTTATTTTTCATTTGAAGATAATCTGGCAACGTTTGAAAACTACAGATCATTCAGACTCTGATACTAAAAAAAGAAAGTCTAAAAGATTTTTTTTTTTAAATTGAATGATCCGTTAACAATGCATTACCAGTCCACAGTAACGGCTGATACCAGCCGACCTGTCCTCAGGGACCGCTGCTCTAGACCACACATCAAACCCTCCGTCTCCTGGGTGTCGGTCACCTGACCCCAGCTGACAGAGACTCAGTCTTTCTCCTGTCTGTCCGTGGATTCTAAGCTTCTTTACATCAGGTCTTGTTCACCACCCATGCAAAGAGGATTTATGGCCCCAGCAGCGTAATTCTGGCTGAGCCCTGGGGGGAGACCAGGGCATTTTTAGCCATTAAGTCAGCAATAGCCAGCGAGTCACCTACGAAGGATTAAACGCTGTGTGTTTTGGTTATCAGTCGATGAAAAGACCTCTCCACAGAACACTGTAATTCATGGATAGAAAGCCGCGGCGTGTATTCTCAGTTTGTAAGCCAAGTTTAAAAACACCCAGGTGTGTGTACAGACTTCTGTACCACTGTAGTGCTTGACATTATGTACAATACATACAGGCTGTAAACCGCTATGATTATTTCTGGTCATAATTAAATACAATGAATGAAGTGATAAAGAAAATTGATACAAATCCGTGATAATTTGCATCAGTTGAAAAACACAGGTTTTTGGTGGTATTTTAATTTCGCGCTGCTTTGTGAAACAAAACATTTTCCCGCAGTGTGTTTAAATAACAACATGTGTATCAACTGTGTATTTGTGCAAAGACAGGAGGATTGAACACTAGAATGGTTGAATGTCTAGTGTGTGACATTCTGTGTGTGTGTGTGTGTGTGTGTTGGGTTGACTGTCCTGTTGACAGTGGCAGGATTTCCTGTATCTGGGTTCGATTCCATGTAGTCAAATCCCAGGTGGTGTTGCATCAGGAAAGGCCGATTGGTGTGTGGACCAATGCTGAAGTGACCTGTGATGAGGTGGTTGATTCATCTTAGGGTTCGGTGTTTATCAGTGAATAGTGAACTAATGGCCATTGTCCTTTAATAAAGAGTAACAGCATTGTTATAACACAGTGTTATTGACTGGAGTGACACCATGTTCACACTGGTCCAGTACGACCTACTGATGTCCTTGACATGAAGCATAGACTTACAGCCTGGGGGGGGGGGGGCATTGACGCACCCATTAAAAAGGCCTCAGTGTGTCTCTGTCTTTTTGTCCTAACGTCTCATTGTCCCCCTCTCACATGCACCATGTCTAAGTTTGCAGTTACATCATCAGTTTCATCAGTCAAAATAACTACTGGTTATGCATTATCACACAACACTGTCTCTGTCCCACTGTGTCCTGTGGTTCATTACTTCAGTAGTGTCTAGACTGTAGTGTCTAGTAGTAGTCTAGACTGTGTAGTTTATTGAGTGCCGTTGGGTGTTTACACTTTTTTTTCACATCGTCACAGCATTTATCATGCCTTTATCACAGGGGACAACACTAATTTTTCAAAGATGTACAAATGTGCTCATGTGAGACTCATGCTCACGTGATCCAGTTAGAAGAAGACAATTCTTCATGCTCAAACAAAGGAAGTACTTCTGTCTTGACTGCACACAAAATACACAGGGAGTACAGAAGTACTTTCTTTGTTTGAGCATGAAAAATGTTTTTTTATGATCTCAGGAAAGAAAATAAAAAGAATACCAAACGATGCAAGATGAGCTGCACGTAGAGCATTGGTGTATAGAATAACACATCACTTCTTATCTAAAGTTGGAGAATACATTAGGTCTTTTGTTTACCATATTTATTAAGAAGGTCTCGTTCCTTCATGCCAACGAGGGATATGGCTCTGTTTCCATTCGCTGGCAGTACATCATATTTTTTTAACCCTTTTCCTCTTCATTGTGGCTTAAGCATAAGTCCAGGTCTGCTACAATAGTTTCCCAGCAATCATTTTCTGTTTCCTACATATTTTGCGATATGTAATGTGTAATTGTATGTAAGTTCTGACTTACATATAGAAGACAGTCCAGCTGCTGTGACAGCCTTGGTGCAGTGTTTTCATGAAGACATGTATTTTTACTGGTTCATAAATTGACTTCCTGTTACGTACAGTGAGGTTTTCTACCACATGTCAGAAGCAGACACACTACAGAACCAATTCAAACACAGAGAGAAACCGGAGAACAGTTGTGAACCAAGCAATAACAAAATGTGTTTCAATATTAACCAATGTCAGCTTGTGTTGGCTCCAGCTCCAAACGTGACCTTTAACTGGATAGAAATGTCAAATAATAAATAAATAAAAATGAATTGACATAATAAAATACAAAAGCAAACTACCGTAACATGATACAAAGATATGGACTCCTTTTTGATGAAACATAAACTGACATTTAGTTGAAGGTAAAGAGACGATGATTCCAGATTTTGATAGTGAGAAAAAAGACAAGACAGAAAATGTATCTGCAGTTGTAAAAAGCCTGTCCTGAGTAATGATGATTTAAGATTCCTCTCTTTTCAACTGCCTTCCATTCTCTCTGCGTGTCTTACTATGCCTTCTATTCTTAAACATATTTCACCCCCCAGCTCACATCGGCTGATCCCCACCCCAACTCCTTCCTGTCTTTTTTTCCCCCACTTACTTCCTCAGCTGTTCTAACTGTTTTAGCCTAGTATTTAAGTAACATTTGTGGCAACGTTTAGCCTCATCATGTTGTGAGTAATGTGCAAGATATGGAAGATTGTTATAGCTCTGAAGGCTTCAAACACCTGAGGGCTCAGTCATTGGTATGTTTTTATAAGTAAATGTTTGGTCTGCTGCCTTCCTACATCTGCTCTTCAGTTGCAAAGAGAATTGCTGGTCATTGGTCTCTGTATTTCACAGGATTATTTGCAGCTTTCTGTTTCAATATGCCCACGCTGAATTGAGGATAAATATTTGAGGTGGATTATAACAACATGGTTGTATTTTTGACAAACTGTGAAAACTGAGATTGTGTTTTGTATTTTCTACTGCCTATCAACTCCAGCTGTCCCCTACTCTATGTTTCTGCAACTGTTTATTATTTATTTCAAGTTGCAAATATTGTAAACTGCTCCATGTAATAAAAAATAATTAATCTAGTTAATAAACTCAGAAACATGGACTTTATTATAAGGCATTCAAACACTTTTTAAGCTCCTGCGGGCCACAAAAAATGACTCGGTAGGCCACATTTGGCCCACATGCCTTGAGTTTGACACATGCCTTGAGTTAAAACATCTAGTGATTGAGTAAAGGTTGAAAGTGAAAATAATTTTTAACCTAGGCCTTTGAATACCTGTCAGTGGTACCACACAGGTAAAAGGTGAAAGGTCTATTTATCGGTAACTATAAATCAGAAAGTCCTCTGTTAAAGTTTACCTCCTCACAGCTGTTGACAAACGTGTTGGCTTTTACACTGCTGGGGTTGAATGACCTAAATCTAGAAAAATCCGCCAGTTGAAGACTGAATATGCCATACTGGGGGTACGAATACGTGTGTGTGTGTCTAAACAATAACTCAATTGTCCCACAAAACGCCCTTTAGTGACCCAACAGAAGCGGACTGGGCATGGGCAGCACCATGCATCCCAACAATGCCTCTGTGCTCAGATCGACACACTCTGCAGCAGGGTGTGTAAAGTAATGCAGCTCATGACTTTCATGGTATGAATGGAGTTTGTAAAGAGTTTTTGAAGCCTCGGAGCTGATGGTAACAAAGGGGGAAATAGGATGACAACGCTTGGTGTGCAGCAGCCATTAGTGGTGAGGGACAGACACAAAAGATCCCTGTCAGGAACCAAACAACTGACTGTACCTAGTACTGTTTGCCAGAATGTTTTTCCTATCCCTGCTATAAACCAACATCTATCACTGTTAGCTTTAGATACCTGCTATCTCTACTCTCTACTATGTTTCCCTAAATCATAAATTAATAACTTTTCTTACCCCCCCACCCACACACACTCTTATCAAGCGCTTGCAGCATGATGAACAAAATAAGGTTATGCAGTCTGATGGTGACTCATGGTGTTCCAGTTTTCTGCAAGATACTCTCTATAAAATGCATTGAAGCTGTCTGTGCTTCTTCAACTCCCTTCAAAACATTGCCTGCATTTAAATGGATGAAGGCCACCAAAAACCAGTAACTCCATCCAGATTCTTTTTTGCATCGGGCTTAAGGAAAAGTTGATCTTGACATAAAGCTTAATTTTTAAAAAAAGAAAAAAAAAACTCTCTTTCACTTTATTGACCCTCTTTGGCCCTCAAGGGCAGAGGTCACAACCTTTGTCAAATCAATGCAGTTCCAATAGGTTTGCTTGCAGCTTCTATAAAAAGCATGATGACACTGCAATAATAAATATGGTGTGGTTAAAATGATGCTTTGTTTCAGATTTTCTCTAACATGGTGTAGTTAAAATGATGCTTTGTTTCAGATTTTACCTGACAGGACAACACAAAATGTTACCATTTTACTACATTGGACTCAGTGACAGTCCATGATGTCCAGGCTTTACAGGAATGCAAAACAGAACAGCTCAAAAGCCTACGACAGGTTCATTGATCTCATCAGTTTTGTGACTGATTAATCAGTTCATTTATCCAAGTCATTAAAGAGAAAAAAGAAATGTTTAAAGGCGTATGATAGGAATAAGAACTTTTATGAAACTGAACCTATTGTTAGTTTAGGTGTAAGTAGTTATTATACAGGTTTCACTTTAAATGAAACTGTCTTTATTTTAATACTGGGCACAGCTCTTGACGAACCTGACCTGTGACTCGGAGTGATTTTGCATGTATTTACATCTTAATCAGGGTTAATACACAATCTCTATTCAAAGCAACTTGTTTTGGTCAAATTTGCTGCTTTTTGGCTGTTGGTACTGGTCTTTCATTTGATAACAAAGTGGGACAAATCCTATCTGAGTAAAGACAGCAGGACCCCCGTGAGGTGGCTTGTGGCAGCTCGCAGACATTCCGCTACCTCAGTAAAAACCAACTCTGATCCAATCCTTCAGTGAAACGCAGGCATTCTTGGAATGTTGTGGGCGACTGGTCTTAGGTATAACACTAAACAACATGATTGTGTTATGTGTGTATGACCATAAAATAGACAGCTTTGTGTGGTTAGGTTTTACATGCACAGTAGTTCTCGAACACATCCCTGTCCCGCCCTGTTAATTCAGTAATTAGTCTGCAAACTAACAGCCAAGGACAACTACTGGTTACTGCTTCAGTTTAGATGACAGAGTCGATAGTGTTACATCATTTCTTTTCCCTGTCCTGACTTACAGCGGCTGAGATCTGCTGAATGTCAGGGCTGTAAGTCAGTAAGTCAGACCCTCACAACAAAGGGTTGGTCTTTGTTGTGAGGGTCAACAGCTGAAACAAGTCGCTGATCTGCATCAGGCCCAGCTACCTCTGAGGCCCACACTGACATCTGAAGGTCCATTCCTGCCATTCCTGTTTGGCAACTCAACCATTGGTTTCTAAACCCAGCTGTCTGTATTTAGCGCACTGTAACCATAATCTATAATATTTATTCTACATAAACAATCAGGTGTTTGGAGCCACCGAGAAAGTCAACGGGTGGACTTGAACATGTACTTTACTGCTTTTGGTTTGGACAAATGTATGTTGAGACAGATTTTGTGACAAAGTTCTGTGCTCACTGGTTAGGTGTGGACTGAAGTCCAAGGGGTAGCATTCACACATACTCAAATGCACTGCTCTAACAGAGCAAACACACCGGGGTTGATCTAATCAAGTCAAACAGAGGAGGTGTAAACAAACCCTAAAAGAAATGAGGCTGAGTTAAAGACAGTGAGGCAGAAAAAGAGAAGAGATTTCTATTTGGACTGAACAGGATTGAAATAAGTGGATCAAATGAACCATCAAGGACCAACATTTTGCCGTATGCGTTCATTTATTTAATTTTTGTCCTTGTTTTGATTTATTCTAACATTAGTGGCATTTATCAATAAAAGCACAGATAATGTATAATAAGAGACGTATGCAGGTTCATGGAGCAGTACAGTGTATCTGTAATCAGGTAATCTCTTTGGCGCAGACATAGATAACACATGAACGTGGAGTCTCATGACACAGTTTGTTTACATTCTCCCTTCTGCACATAACCCAACAAATGGACCGGACTGTTTCTTTTTCCCCAACCTTGTTGTGTTTGTGTTGGAAAGTGATCAGAGTCAGGTACCATCTTGTGTAGAGTCAAATGTTTCACTGTGGACACAGTATGATTTAAAGGCAACTGTAAATCAGTCTACAGCTGAGTTATAGGGTTGAGTAGTTTGGACAGTAAATCAAGAAGTAAAATGAATACTTCAGGTATTTGTAGATGTAGAGTAAAAAGATGAATACTTCAGGTATTTGTAGATGTATTAAAGAAGGTTTAGGGTTGGAATAAAAGTAGAAGGCAAAAAAGATGATCGGTTGTGACCACTGATACGGACCTTTATTATTTGTTAGGAGCTATAATACAGAGCATTTTACAGTGCACCTTGTAGCATGTACCTCCATGACTCAGCTTGATTTGTTCCTGAATATTGGATTGGAACTCAGTTCCAAATCCAGGCATCGTTTATGTCAACCACTGCTAAAGTCAACTGGCCTTTCCAAGAGAAGTGTACTGCTGATGTGGCCCACTGGTGAAAATGAGTTTGACACCCCTGTTTTAAGGGGACAGCTGGAGTTGATATGACAAGTCAATCTGCTTTTTTCTAACATGTGAATGTCAGTGTGTCTCTCACGCCTGCTTTACCAGGTTGATTGTAACGGACAATAACGTGGGGGACCTTTTTCCAACAGACATGACATTAAGAATATCCATGTGGCGCATGGAAGATAATTTTCATGCTTTGTATTTTGGAATGTGAACTGGACCAGTTGGAAAACTATATTTGACAAAGACCCAGTGTAGTAAACATGACACAGGCAAACTCTGAAACCACGCCCATGGTCTGGGATGCTGGTGTTGCATGTGCCCATTGTAGAAGCACTATTTCCATTCAGTTATTTAGGCATAAATGCACCACAGTGAGTGTTTTCAGAAAAACGCTAAAACCAACACGATGAAACATGAAAACGAGCCTCTGTGTTGAGTCCATGCGTCCTCCGTATCAACCGGTAACAATGGTGACGCAAGCTCTGCGGCTAACCAGCCGGGCTAACCTGTGTGTTAGCCGCTAGCTCTGGAGTACAAGTGTAAACAACGACGGCACACATGGAACTGGGTGAGATTTTTTCCCCCGTTTGTCCTTCTCCATCCACCTCTCCACCTGCCGGGCCGAAGCCAAAGCAGGTCACAAACAAAGCCAGTTAGCAGCATATTCCGCCGGACTAAACTGTTATCTGGTTACCGCGGCTGTAGCACTACCGCGTCACATACTCGCTCCTAATACCGGCTTAAAATGACACAAAACCTTACCCGACGAGGGTTTTGGACTCCTGGTGAACCCGGGATCACCTTCTCCAGTCAAACCCGCCGTGTCATGCGTGTGTGTTTTTCCAAACAGGCGTGGGAATGAGGATTAGGGTCTGTGCTCTAACTCCGCGGTCCCAGACTGGGGAAAGAGGGAATGCAGGAATGTGACGTACGGTCGGTTTGGCTGGCTGCGATGACACGTGCACTTTGGAGCGAGGCATAATGGGAGACGTAGTTCAAAATCGTCGGCTCGCTTCATTTTCTGTTTGCGGATAAAGTATGTCATGCCTATGAAGGGTGGGGGTGGTGAAAGTATGCGAAAAACATCTTCAACCTTTAAAACAGACGCGTGCACAGCTAGGAACAACAACTGGTTCAATGGGCTTATTAAGAATATAAGTGGAATTAAATATTTCGCTTAGTAAGTAAGAAAAATGTTGTAATATTGCATAGTGAATACACAGAATTGTGATGCCTTTAAGGACCCTCGGAATGGCCCAGAAACTAATTGCACGTATTAGTTGCTGCGTTACACTCACACACATTACGTATTATGCTATTATTTTTTATAACATAAGTTATAATTATTGTAGTTACGGTCAAATTTAAAACTTTGGCCCTCGTTGGGGGCTAAGCTAAATGAAGGGTGGATTATATTTACTTTTTATTTATTACTTAGACATGAGTTTTTCCACAACGTTTCCAGTTTTGTTTTAAATGTTTGAATGGTGCTGCAGAGACTTTCTGGCCCATCAAAAAAAAAAAAAAAAAAGTTAAATGTCACGTGAGTTTAAATAAAAAGCAGCAGTGTTGCATAACTTGAGTCACGCTGTGGAGTATTTATTTCCTTTAAGGGAGCTGAATATTTGTTGCACCGTTTAAATACTGTGTTTTTAGATGCCTATATTAGTACATCCATGTAGTTGTTTTTTTTTACACGTCTTAGTTGCTGCGTTACACTCCACATTACGTATTATGCTATTATTTAACATAAGTTATAATTATTGTAGTTACGGTCAAATTTAAAACTTTGGCCCTCGTTGGGGGCTAAGCTAAATGAAGGGTGGATTATATTTACTTTTTATTTATTACTTAGACATGAGTTTTTCCACAACGTTTCCAGTTTTGTTTTAAATGTTTGAATGGTGCTGCAGAGACTTTCTGGCCCATCAAAAACAAAAAAAACAAAAAACAAAAAAAAGTTAAATGTCACGTGAGTTTAAATAAAAAGCAGCAGTGTTGCATAACTTGAGTCACGCTGTGGAGTATTTATTTCCTTTAAGGGAGCTGAATATTTGTTGCACCGTTTAAATACTGTGTTTTTAGATGCCTATATTAGTACATCCATGTAGTTGTTTTTTTTTTTGTTTTTTGTTTTGTTTTGCTGTATCAGATATCAAACATAAACATAATTTACTGACTCGTCCATTAATTAGGACCCCACAGCTGTGACGAATATAAAAACAATTATAACAGACCTTTGGTACCTGCTACTGCAGTGACTTAAGCTGAAGAATATTTTAACTACTACGAGGCGTCATGTGAAACTGGGAAGATGAGTAAAAAATAATTGAATACCTTTACTTTTTTACAGTAGATGAATGCCCATCCTCGATCATTCTAATGTAAGTCTGACACCTAGCGGCTAAATTGAGAGGTGCAATTAACCTACAGTCTATGTCTGCGCGTGTGAGGGAGGGAAAAGTAGAGACGCGAACTGTTCTGTAATACTTTGTCTGAACACCAGATTGAAGTTTATATTTAGGGCATTGTTTTTTTTACTGACTGACTTTCATAATGATACATCGACACGTCAGTGTTCACTGGAGCTTTCAAACTGCAATCTCACGCTGAGGACAAAACATGATGCACGTAAACACATGAGTTTGAATCTGTAGGTTCACTGAAAGCTGAGTTAAAAAAAACAAAAAAACAAACCCTCCCCAGACCCTCACCCCTCACACCCCCCTCCCCTTTCTCCAGATGGACACATAGCATATTTGGCGTCACAGTTAGAGGCTAATGAACTAGCATGCCACGGCAGAGGCTGCAGCAGGTCATTACACCCTACGCCCCTATCCCGCCTCCTTCTTTTCAGCCTCCCTCTCCCTCCCACTCCCTCACCCAGTCCCATGTCTATCCTTAGTTGTCCCATAATTACTTTGTTGTCCTCTTCCACTTCACCCGCAGCACCACAAGCCATACAGCCCTCCACTTCCCTCCCATACTGCCGTCTGATGCCACATGTATTCACCTATAGCGTGCCTCTCTTTCTGATGTGTGCACGAAAAAAAAAAAAAAACCAAACAAACAAAAAAAACGCCGGTACCAATGTGCCGTCCTGAAATTTGCTCTACCTGTGTGTGTGTGTGTGTGAACTGAGGTTGAACTGAAGAGGAGGAGGAGGAGGACAGAAAAAGCAACATCATTGCTTTTGCAGCACCAAATTCAGATTTCTCTATTTTTCGCTCTTGTAAATCTTGTGTCTGTTTTAAACAAATGACTGCATAAAAGTTCAGATTTAAGGCTTGTGTGAAGCTAAGTGGCAAAGTTGGTGAGATTCATTGCGCTGTTTCCAAGGGAACCATAATGTTAAACTGCCATATAATTTCAACGTTTCTAAAAATGTCAACTCTTGTTGTGTGGCACAAGATTCCTTGAAAAGAAAGTTTTATTTTCTTCATTTAAAAAAAAAAAAAAGCTAATGTGGAATGATTTGTTTTTCATTTCACCCTTCAGTCCATTATGTGATAATTATCATCATTAACGACACCCATAGAAGTGTAATTGGTTTAAGTGTCAGTAGATTATAAATATCTAAAGAAGTTATGAGCCTAAGATCCGTTAGTTTGTATATCTTGATGTAAATTTCATTGCTGCTGTTGATGATGAGAGGAAGTTTGGGTGGTGAGAACGACGGTCGACAGCACAGCTGAAACTGGCGTTGCTCCTCAGGTTGCCCTCCACTAAATCTGTGCCCTCACCAGAGAGATGGTACCAAGGCACCAATTAGCAGCGGAGAGGGCGCATGATGATATTTCCGTGTGCCTGTGGCCTGGGCCGCTCCATCTGTGTGTGTGTGTGTGTGTTATAAAAAAAGGCAAAACCATAAACATGGAATTAGACAGCACAGGCCCCGCAGCTCTTAAGGTCACAGACGCTCCCCTCCTGTGGCTCCACAGAGTATCGCTGCGATGTAAACAACAGTGGCCTAAAAACGTACTACAAGTGAACTGCAGGTTGACCAAAGGAGGGCTGATTATTTGTGCTTGTCGTGATGTGGAGAGCAGTTCGTCGGGGCTTTGACCCTCCGTGCTGCTGCTGCCGCTCTGCTCTTTCACAGCTCACTCGACCGGGCGCAGGAGAAACTGTAGGTGTGGGAGAGAGATCACTGCACAACGTTTGCAGTAGGCGGCGAGTGACTGAACATCTCTCTATGTACTGTAATCACACACACACACACACACACACATGCATGTACAGTATGCATAGAGAGAGACAAAGAAAGACACACACGCGTGCACACATTGGCAGTGGTTCAACACGTTGAGTAACAATAACATGACGGTTTTTGAACCGGCAGGTGGGGGCAGCAGAGAGTAGTGAGAGGTGCTGCTATATTTCACTGGCGTTCAAATGTATACAATTCAAGCAGTCAAAAAATTAGAAATTACCTTAAAAAAAGACTGCACATTGGCTACAAGATTATAAAAATTGTAGTTAAAATAAAACAACAATAACCAGGGGTTATACATACATATGAAATGAAAATAGAAATATTTTTAAGTTAATAGAATTGCGGCTTAATGTGGAACTCAAGAGAAAAAAAAAGGGTCAGATGTGTGAAAACCAGGTGTGATTTTCTGAATTAGTCCTGAGACCATGTGACCGTGTCGTCATGACATTTCGTTTTTACCTGATGACTTTGAAGGTCACACACACAAAGTCCAACGTTTGGACTTTACTGAAACATCTTGTTCCCACTCTCTCCTATGGCAGTGGTTTCTCTGCTGATCTCCCCCTTTGGTTCTTGAGAAAATCCCCCCCCCTTCCCCTCCCTTCTCGCAAGACTTGTTTATTTCACACATTTTAAATGTAACTGTATTTACGCTCCTTCAACTTGTCCATTTTATACTAGCATTGCCAACTCTGGTCATTTGGCAGGAGTGAGATTTTGTGTGTAGGGGAGGGCGGGTGTGGGAGGGGGCACTTCACGGGGCTACTACTGCCGTTCTGGGCAGATAGACAGCAAAAATGAGAGCGAGAATTAAAAATAATGCAATATTATTATCAGATATACATTTTACACCGTATTTTAACCACTCCACTTCCCAGTGTCTTGTGAATGCTGCATCACATTTCTTTCATTAATTCCATCCACGCCCCCCGCAATGGCACTAAGCCCCCCATAGGGGGCGCGTCCCCCACTTTGGGAACCTCTGTCCTATGTTATTATAGCTCCTAACACTCCTACATATTCAGTTTGGGGTTTTTTTCTAGAATCTGTATTTCTATGATGTCGATTTTTTTTTCTCTAGAATCTGTATTTCTATGATGTCGACACCGGACTGTAGAGTGCAGCTGATCTTCTGACTCATTAAAGAAACAAATGTCAGAGAAGTGAAAAATGTTAAGGTCATTTTTCCTTTGTCCTTGCGCTGGAGTGGAGACCTCCACCCCCCTCACCCCCCTCACCCCCTGCTGTTGGACTGCAGCGGAGGACCGGCCGTCCGAGGAGTGTGCTGACAGCTCTGGGCTGTGTGTGCGTCCGCCTGTGTGTATGGTGAACACCCGTTGAGTAGGTGGGTCTGCTGGAAGGGAGTGGGAGAGGTGGGAAAGGGGCAGATGGAACACAGAAGGAAGTTCACCAGAGACACACAGAGTGTCAGAGACGAGAGAGAGGGACGGAGGGGAGAGGAAAGGGAGGGATGGGTTCAGCGAAGGCCAGAGGGAGAGGGAAAGGTGGAGGAAAACCGAGGGAAAGATATGCAGAGAGAAAGGGCAGCAGGTGGTGACAAGATAAAGGAAAGGCCGATTAAAGGATGGGGAGGGAGGAGGACGGGAGGTGAACTGTGTCAGGTATCAGTGGGTGAAGTGAGGAGCAGGGGAGAGAGTGTGACAGGAGGGGCAGTGTTGGGGAAGGGGGTGCAAAGACAGAAGAGAAGAACTTTTGACTTTCAGCAGTAGTGTTGGAGAGTAACACACAGAAAACATTTATCTTTTATGTCTTATGGACGGGGTTACGATTTGTTGGGCTAGAGGTC